CCTCCGACAGTGCCCGCTCCCTCATCACTGACCCTCCAACAGTGCCCACTCCCTCAGCACTGACCCTCCGGATAGTGCTCCCTCCCTCAGCACTCACCCTCTGACAGTGCTCCCTCCCTCAGCACTCACCCTCTGACAGTGCCCATTCCCTCAGCACTGACTGAGTGGTCGTATTTATTCACTAATTGGACAAGGGAACTGCTGGCTGGGCCCAGCATTTATTGCCTGTGCCTAGTTGCTATTGAGAAGTTGGTGGGGAGCTGCCTTTATGAACCATGATAGCTCCATGTCTCTGTTGGCTGTGAGTTGCACTCCGTGTCTGACACTAACCTATGAGCCATGTCTCCAGCAGAAAGTCACCGATCTGTCTTGTGTAAAGCTTCACTGCTCACTGTTCCTCTGTTGCCGGTACGTTACTGCTCTCTGCTCGTTACTCTGGTCCTTACTTTCTGATCTCGGCCTCTTCTGGTCACTGGCTGTCCTTCAATGGTTTCTGCTCATCAGTCATTAGTTACTCATGGAGGATCACTGATCAATTTCTGTCCTTTTTCTTGCCACTGTTGTTCACTTAGTGGTCAGTTCCTGGTCACTGTGGTCAGTTCCTGGTCACTTAGTGGTCAATTCCTGGTCACTGTGGTCAGTTCCTGGTCACTTAGTGGTCAGTTCCTGGTCACTGTGGTCAGTTGCTGGTCACTGTGGTCAGATGCTGCTGTGAATTCCTGTGAAATACACTCTGTGCTTGTGGGTGGGGGTGGGGTTTGGGGTGGATGGCGTGTTCAGTCCTGCCACCAGGGAGTAGTCACTCTCTCTCACTGAGCTCAATGAGCTAACTTTTTCCTCTAATCCTCATGTCCTCAGAATCCATTCCCAACTAAACACCCTCAAACTGACACCATCAATTCCACCCCTTCCACCCTCCAGGCCACTCTGATCCTCCAGACCCTGAGTGTCATTAATAAGCAACCCTCCCTCTGCCTCTAAATCTCTCCTCCAGTGACTCACACAACTCAATCCAACTCATAGCCCATCACCCTTACCCCACTCTATTTCTCTCTCTGTGAATCTCAATCTCTCTATCCCCTCCTTCTCTTTACCTTCTTTCCCTGTAACTTTTACCGCTCTCCCTGTCTGTCTCTGTCTCTCTCAGTCTCCCTATCCACTTCCTCTCTGTCTCTGTCACCCTCTCTCTCTCTCCCTCTGTCTCCCTTCTCTGTCTCTCTCTCTCTCGCTGTCTCTCTCTCTTTCTGTCTCTCACTCTGTCTCCCTCTGTCTCTCTCTCTGTCCCTCTCTCTCCCTCTCTCTCTCCGTCAACGTCTGCTCAGTTGCCCACCTGTCTGTTTTGCCTGGTCTCTAGTCGGGACATGTTCTCTCTCTCTATTTGTCTCCCTCTCTCGGTGCCTTTGGGGTTTGTTTACTTGGTCTCCGTGGAGACCAGGACAATACACAAGCTGGAGTTTGAGAGGAAGCCCTGATTCCGGGAAAGTCATCAAAACCCGCCCCTTGCTCGACCCAATCACAAATCTGCAAATCCCCCAAAACACAGTGAATCCCACAGCAGCCAATCTCAAAGGAAAACCAGCAGATAGTGAACGCAGCAGAGCCCTGTACTGTGCAGTACCACCCAGAACAAGCTGTCACATCACAGAACAAACAGCCCTGAACAGTCTAACACAATTCTGAATTCACACAACACCAGGTTATAGTCCAACAGGAACAAAAACAGAAGTCTGGTGGCATCTGAGAAGAAAAATCAGAGTTAAGATTTTGGGTTTGGTGACCTTTCCTCAGACCTGCTGAGCTTTTCCAGCAACTTCTGTTTCTGTTCCTGATTTACAGCATCTGCAGTTCTTTCAGTTTTTATAGACCAACAGGTTTATTTAAAATCACAAGCTTTTTGTGCGCTGCCCCTTTGTCAGGTAAAGTCATGTCTGACAAATCTTTTAAAGTTTTTCGAAGAGGTAACCAAGAGGACAGATGAGGGTAGGGCAGTAGATGTTGTCTGTATGGACTTTAGTAAGGCCTTTGACAAGGTCCCAGGCTAGTCATGAAGGTTAGATCACATGGGATCCAGGGAGATCTAGCTAATTGGACTCAAAACTGGCTCGATGGTAGGAAGCAGAGGGTGATGGTTGAAGGTTGTTTCTCTGACTGGAGGCCTGTGACTAGTGGTGTGCCACAGGGATCAGTGTTGGGACCTTTGTTATTTGTTATTTACATAAATGATCTGGATGTGAATGTACAAGGCATGATTAGTAAGTTTGCAGATGATATAAAATTAGGAGGTATCGTTGCTAGCGAGGAAGGTTATCAAAAATCACAGAGGGATCTTCATCAGATGGGGAAGTGGGCTGAGGATGGGCAAATGCAATTCAATACAGATAAGTGTGAGGTTTTGCACTTTGGAAAGTCAAACTGAGGTAGGACTTATACAGTAAATGAGGAGTGTTGTGGAACAGAGGGACTGAGGAATAGAAGTACATAGTTCATTGAAAGCATCGTCACAGGTGGACAGGGTGGTGAAGAGGGCACTTAGCATGCTGGCCTTCATCAGACGAAACACTGAGTATAGGAGCTGGGATGTTATGTTACAGTTGTTTAAATCGTTGGTGAGACTGCACTTGGAGTATTGTGTACAGTTTTTTGTTCTCATCCTGTTGTTGGAAAAACATAGTTAAACTGGAGAGTGTGCAAAGAAGATTTATAAGGATGTTGCCAGGACTAGTAGGCCTGAGTTATAGGGTGAGGTTGGCCAGGATAGGACTTTATTCCTTGGAACGTAGGAGACGGGGGGTGACCTTGTTGCAGTGTATAAAATCATGAGGGGCAGAGATAGGATGAACGCATATCGTCTTTTTCCCAGGGATGGGGAATTGAAAACTAGAAGGGCATAGGTTTAAGGTGAGAGGGGAAAGGTTTAAGAAGGACCTGAGGGGCAACTTCTTCACACATTGAGTGGTGTGTATATGGAATGTGCTGCCAGAGAAAGTGGTTGAGGCAGGTACAATAGCAATATCTAAAAAACATTTGGAAGGTGTATGGATGGGAAGAGTTTAGAGGGATATAGACGAAATGTGGGCAACTGGAACTAGCTGAGTGGGCACTATGATCAGCATAGACCAGTTTGGGCTGAAGGGCCTGTTTCCATGCTGTATTACTCTATGACTTTAACTTGGTGTCATGTGACATCTGACTTTGTCCACTCCAGTCCAACACCAGCACCTCCACATCATAACACAGCCCAGAAACAGCTGAAGGTACTAGATACTGCAAAGGCTACGGGCCCTGACAACATTCCAGCAACAGTACTGAAGACTTGTGCTCCAGAACTTGCCGCTCCCCTAGCCAAGCTCTTCCAGTACAGTTACCCGACAATGTGGAAATTTTCCCTGGTATATCCTGTACGCAAAAAGCAGGACAAATCCAACCCAGCCAATTACTGCCCCATCAGTCCCCTCTCGATCATCAGTAAAATGATGGAAGATGTCAGTAACAGCGCTATCGAGCAGCACCTGCTCAGCAATAACCTGCTCAGTGACACCCAGTTTGGGTTCCGCCAGGGCCACTCAGCTCCTGACCTCATTACAGCCTTGGTTCAAACATGGACAAAAGAGCTGAATTCCAGAGGGTGAGGTGAGAGTGACAGCCCTTGATTTCAAGGCTGCATTCAACCGAGTGTGGCATCAAGGAGCCCTAGCAAAACTGGAATCAATGGGTATCGGGGGACAAACTATCCAGTGGTTGGAATCATACCTGACACGTAGGAAGATGGTTGTGGTTGTTGGGGGTCAATCATCTCAGCTCCAGGACATCTCTGCAGGAGTTCCTCAGGGTAGTGTCCTAGGCCCAACCATCTTCAGCTGCTTCATCAATGACCTTCCCTCCATCATAAGGTCAGAAGTGGGGATGTTCGCCAATGATTGCAAAATGTTCAGCACCATTCGTGACTCCTCAGATACTGAAGCAGTCCATGTTCAAATGCAACAAGATCTGGACAATATCCAGGCTTGGGCTGACAAGTGGGAAGTGACATTCACACCACACAAATACCAGGCTATGACCTTCACCAATAAGACATAATCTAACCACCGCTCCTTGACATTCAATGGTGTTACCATCACTGAATCCCCCACTATCAACATCTTGGGGGTTATCATTGACCAGAAACTCAACTGGATTCATTCTATAAAAAATAAACCATAAGAACTAGGAGCAGGAGTAGGCCATTCAGCCCCTCAAGCTTACTCCACCTTTGGATATGATTATGGCTGATCTCATCTTGGCCTCAACTCCACTTTCCTGCTCACTTTGCACAACCCTTCAATCCATTACTAATTAAAAACCTGTCTCTCCACTCCTTAAATTTACTCAATGCCCTGGCATCCACCACGCTCTGGGGTAGTGAATTCCACAGATTCCCAACTCTTTGAGTGAATTATAGAACCCTTACAGTGTGGAAGTAGGCCATTCAGCCCATCGAGTCCACACCAATCTTCTGAAGAGGATGCCACCCAGACCTTATCCCTGTATCCTTGCATTTTCCACAGCCAATTCACTTAACCTGCATGTCTTTGGACTGTGGGAAGAAGCACTTTGTCTAGAACAAAGAGCAAAGAACAAAGAAAATTACAACACAGGAACAGGCCCTTCGGCCCTCCAAGCCTGCGCCGATCCAGATCCTCTATCTAAACCTGTCGCCTATTTTCCAAGGATCTGTATCCCTCTGCTCCCTGCCCATTCATGTATCTGTCCAGATACATCTTAAATGACGCTATCGTGCCCGCCTCTACCACCTCCGCTGGCAACGTGTTCCAGGCACCCACCACCCTCTGCATAAAGAACTTTCCACGCATATCTCCCTTAAACTTTTCCCCTCTCACCTTGAAATCGTGACCCCTAGTAATTGAGACCCCACTCTGGGTGGGGTGGGGAAGCTTCTAGAAACAATTAATCAGGATAGGATCAGTAATCACATGGAAAAGGTGGGATCATTGGAAAGAGAGATAGTAGGAACTGCAGATGCTGGAGAATCCGAGACAACAAGGTGCAGAGCTGGATGAACACAGCAGGCCAAGCAGCACCACAGAAGCAGAGAGGTCTGCTCCTATGATGCTGCTTGGCCTGCTGTGTTCATCCAGCCCTGCACATCATTGGAAAGAGTCAGCTTAGATTTCTAAAGGGAAATTGTATTTAACTAATGTTTTGAAGAGGTAACATTTGGAGTAATGTAGACAAACTGATGGCACAAGTTGAGATAAAAGAATATAATCTTGTAGCTCTTATGGAAACATGGTTACAAGGTGAACAGAACTGGGAACTTCACGTTCAGGGATATTTAACCTTTCAGAGAAACAGGAGGGGTGGAAAAGATGGTGGGGTAGCACAGTTAATAAGAAATGAAATGAGAACAATTGTGAGAGATGGACTAGGCTCAGTATGTTTGGGCGAAGATTAAGAAAAAGCAAGGAGAAAGGGCCACTGATAGGAGGACGGTATAGATTACCAACCTGTGGGAAAGGCTATAAATATACAAATAAAAGAAGGATGTAAAAAGCATGAAGAATAAGTATGGGTGACTTTAATATTCATGTTGATTGGGTTAATCGAATTGGAAAGGGTAGATATAACAACAAATTTCAGAGTGTATTCGGGATAGTTTCCTAGAGCAATGTGTCACGGAACTAATCAGGGAGCAGGCTATTCTGGATCTGCTAATAAGTAATGAGGCAGGTTTAGTAAATGATCCCAGAGTAGTTGTGGTCCCTTATTTAAGGAAATCATTTCACTGGAGGCAGTTCAGAGGAGCTTCACAAGGATGATCCTGGTATAGAGTAATTATCTAATGAACAAAGACTAAGCATGCTGGATCCCTACTCACTGGAGAGTGAGAGGGGATCTCATTGAAATATATACAATTCTTCAGGGGCTTGACAGATTAAATGCTGAGAAGATGCTTTCCCTCATGGGAGAGTCTAGGAGCAGAGGGCATAGTCTCAAAATAAAGGGGCACAAAAATTAAGACTGAGAGGAGGAGGAATTTCTTCTCTTAGAGAGCTGTTGGAACACCTTGCCACAGAAAGCTGCGAGGGGTGGGGTGGTGTGAGTGTTGCAGAGGCCTTGTGTATATTTGAGGCTGCGATAGATGGCTTATTAATCAGTTGGTGTATCAAGGCTTAGGGGAAGGGCAGGAAAGTGAACATGAGAAATGTCAGATCAGCCATGATCCTATTGAATGACAGAGCAAGCTTGTGGGCTGAATAGCTGACTCCTGTTCCTATCTCATATGGTCTTATGGTAAAACTCCCTCTAGATACTAGTAATCATAACATGATGGAATTTAATATTCACATTGAGAGTGAGAAGCCTGGCTCCAAAACAACTGTGTTTAACTTAAATACAGGGCATTACAGTGAAATGAGGATAGAGTTAGCTATGGTGAACTGGGTGGATAGATTAGTAGGAATGACAGTAAATGATCAGTTGTAGACATTTAAAGAGTTAATTCATGACTGTCAGCAAAACATTCCAGTCAGCAGGAAGGATTCTAAGGGAGGGATAAATTAACATAACTAACCAAGGAATTGGAAACAATATCAGAAATTGCTGGAAAAGATCAGCAGGCCTGGCAGAATCTATGGAGAGAAATGAGAATTAACATTTTTTGTCCCGTGACCCTTCTTCAGAACTTATTGTAGCAAGGAAAGGGTTGGTATATATGCTAAAGAAGAGGTGAGATGGATCCCAGAGAGAATGGGTAAAAGTCAGCCTGGGGGAATGAATAGCTATTAATTGAGACCAGTAGTAGCTAATAATGGGATGGATGTAGCAGTAGCCCATATAATGACACAGCCTGGTGTGTGGGGGTTGGGATAAAGACATGGGGGAAGATGCTCAGACCCTAAAGTTACTGAAGTTGTTATTGAATCTGGAGAGCTACAGGGTCCCTAAGTCCATAATGAGGGAACCCTATCTCTGTTGCGGGAGGGAAGAGCGGGGCAGGGCCAATAAATGTAGCCCAGCCAGAAACACCCATGTCCCGTGAGTGAATAAAACAGAAGTTATAGAGCGTTATAAATCAACAATTCGTATTTCCTGATTTCCATTGGTTAAAGACAATTTGTTTGTAAGAAATAGTTATTTTCTTGTTCAGTACAGAAACCCGGTGAGGGTTTTCTTTTAGCCTGAGTTTGTTAATCAGGTAAATTGGGAACTTGGGGTGGATGGAGTAAATATTTTCACATTTGGAATAACTTTGGGAATAATGGGACTTGATTTCCAGTGAGTTGTGACAAAGTTTGGGGCATTGTAGCTGGGATTTTGGAACAACTTTCGTGTGATCATAGGTAGTGCTTTCACTTTGCTGCAAAATCAGTCCCCAGGAGTAACACTGCGCCATCTGCAGGTAATTTCCTAATTACCTCAACCACCCCCCCACCCCACCCAACTAATCTAGACATCAAGTCCCAAACCAGTTGGCTTGTATACATTGGGTCTGGGTAACACTTTCTACCTACTCCATTTACCAGCACTCTGGCTTACGCTGAACCCTCTGGAAGGAAAACTAAATCCTTCTACAGCAAGAGAGTCTGAGTAGACCCTGGAGTGCTAAGTGGTATGGAGTGCTAAGTGATAAAAGAATGAACAGAGACAGCATTTTTCATACTGTAATAAAATAAAATTCCATTACAGGCTGCTAAATCCTTCTGGCAGCTGCAGTAGATGCCCCAACAAACTTACAGGAGATCAGGAAACAATGACAGAGAGTGCTGGAAAACCTCAGCGGGTTTGGCAACATCGGTGGAGAGAGAAACAGAGTTAAGGTTCCAGTTCTAGCATCACTCATCTTCAGAACTGCCTTCTTCAAAAAAAACTAAGTTGTTTGAAATGGCAGGTACACTAGAAGTGGGACTTATTGAAACTTGTAAGAATGAGTTTGAAAAGGGATAGCAGAAGGAAAAGACCATGGATCAAATTTTAGTTTTCACAACAACTAAAAGACTGGGAGATAGACACTGCTGTGGGTGCAGGAGGGTAGGTCGGGTAGATGAGAGATACAAAAGGCTTTTTTCAAAAGGGAAGATAAACCCTTTTTCTTAAAAGGAAGAATCTGAGCCCATAACTACATGAGGGTTCCAGGGTCTACTCAGACTCTCTTGCTGTAGAAGGATTTAGTTTTCCTTCCAGAGGGTTCAGCGTAAGCCAGAGTGCTGGTAAATGGAGTAGGTAGAAAGTGTTACCCAGACCCAATGTATACAAGCCAACTGGTTTGGGACTTGATGTCTAGATTAGTTGGGTGGGGTGGGGGGGTGGTTGAGGTAATTAGGAAATTACCTGCAGATGGCGCAGTGTTACTCCTGGGGACTGATTTTGCAGCAAAGTGAAAGCACTACCTATGATCACACGAAAGTCTGAGTGAGGCTAACGTGGTGAGCAGTGCCAGGAACAGATTCCTGGTATTTTTCCAGGCTGTGTGGTAACCAGAGAAATGGCTTAACCAAGTGAATCACCAGAGGTCACAGTGATAACACAAGCAGATGTTTGGGGAACTTAATGATGAGGATAATTCGAAAGAGGGGTTTGTTGTGTCTTCAGTAATTGAGGCTCGGAAACAGATCCTGAGTTAACGTAATGAGAATGGACAGCTCACACTGATGCTGAAGGAATTCTGGAGGGTTATTAGATCAAAACCAGAGTTCAGATGAGGAAGTGCAGACATCCTCACATACCTGCAGATGAGGAATGGACAGTTGTTTATCAGACAGCATAGGGAGATATTGAGAGTAACACATGGAATTTCTACAACAGGGCATATAGGAATATAGAAAACACAGGCATGGATAAACGGGTAGTTTGCATGACCAAGAGTTCAGAAAGATGTTGTACAGTTCTATAAAACATATCAGACATGTCAGGAGGTGGATAAATTTCAGCATGTAATCAGACCTGCACCTTTCACACCCTCAACCATTTTTAACAAACTATCTAATCAAGTATAACTGAGTTGTAATGGCCCATTAGTGAAAACTAAAGCAGGACATCAGGGTATCTTTATAATGATAGTCGTGACAACTCAGTTCCTACAGGTTATTCCTGTAAGGACTATTACAGCGAAGGGCGTGGTGGTAAGGTTAACATAGTTCAGAAGAAGGGTCACTGGACTTGAAACATTAAATGTGCGTTCTCTGCACAGATGTTCTCCGCACGGTGGCTCAGGGGTTAGCACTGCAGCCTTACAGCACCAGGGACCCAGATTCCACTCCACCCTCGGGTGACTGTCTGTGTGGAGTTTGCACATTCTCCCTGTGTCTGCATGGGTTTCCTCCGGGTGCTCCGGTTTCCTCCCACAGTCCAAAGATGTGTAGGTTAGATTGATTAGCCATGGGAAATGCAGAGTTACAGGGATAGGGTTGGGGCAGTGGTGAGTCTGGGTGGAATGCTCTTTAGAGGGCTGATGTGGACTTGTTGGGCCAAATGGCCTGTTTCCACACTGTAGGTATTCTATGATGCTGCCAGACCTGCTGACTTTCTCCAGCATTCTCTGTTTTGTAAGGTTAACATAATTTTTACTCATTATAGACTTCTATGTGACATATAATCTGATCAGGGTTCTAACTTTATCTCTAAAGTTTTCCAGGAGATCATTAGCAGTTTGTGGATAAAACAATTGAAGCCCAACTGTGTTATCATCCACAACAGGGAGCTTTGGAGAGATCCCTTCACACTCTCAAAGCCATGAATAGGGGAAGGCAAGGGCCAAGTGGTATTGTCATTGGGTTAATCCACTGGTTGACCCAGGTAATGTTCTGCGGACCTGGGTTCGAATCCCGCCATGACAGATGGTGGAGTTTGGATTCAATAGATATCTGGAATTAAGAACCTAATGATGACCATGAATCCATTGTTGATTGTTGGAAAAACCCATCTGGTTCACTAATGCCCTTTAGGGAAGGAAACTGCCATCCTTACCTGATCTGGCCTATGTGTGACTCCAGACCCACAGCAATGTGGTTGACTCTTAATTGCCCTCTGGGCAATAAGGGATGGGCAATAAATGCTGACGCAGCCAATGATGCCCTCATCCCATGAAAGCAAAAAAATGCAAATTGTCACAAATACCCAAAGGATTGGATTTCTTACTATTTGCCTCCAGAGATGCCCCAAACAAATCTACTGGATTGACTCCATTTGGAATGGTTTATGGTCATGAGATTTGAGCTCCATTTAAATTGATCAGGGAGAAGGTCTATCCTCAATATTGCATCATGTCTGCACGTTTCTAGAGAGACTCACTGGAGCATGTGGGGAGGCTAGAGACATCCACCAGTCTGACAGGTGACAGTGAGAGACGGGGCAGATAGACATTCAGCAGCAAGCACATTCACACTGGGAGGAAAAGGGTCAGTACTGTAGCCTTGGGCAGGGTGAACGTCTGAAAGTGAGGTTCAGTGGATCATACAATGTAGTGAGGAGAGTTAGTAAAGTGATTTTTCTGATAAATACTCCTGATTATGGGAAGAGGAATCAGATCTGTCACAGAAATGTGTTGAAGAGGTATCAATGTAAGGAAGAGTATAAGGAGGAGTGAGTGTGTCTGGCGGTGAGAGGAGTGAAAAATGACAGTGGGGTAGAAACAGAGTGAGACAGTGAGTGAGTTCACAAAGTGAAGCCCCTACAATGACACTCACTACCACAGAAATACTGGGACAGTTAGACACTGTGTTCTCAGATTTAGAGAAAGGACAATGGAGGATCTTGTAAGATTACAGAAAAAGTAGAAGGGAATCTATAGTGATCCACCTGGATATACTACATTAGGTTAACATGAAAGGAGACTAAGACCATAAAATCT